ACTGGTATATATGTTTGATCCTAGTGCGGACATAAACGGCCAATTTTGAGGCCCTATGTCGGATATTTAGGCGGACATAAAGCCCAAAATTTCGGTCCATGTCCGGTATATCACGGCGGACACAAGGGCCTTGCCGGTCTTGGTGTCCGATCACCTGGCGGACATACCAAGTCGTCGAAGTGTCACACCCAGTAGTCCTTGTACTAGGTTGAGTGGTGTCTCTTATGCTTCTCAGTCAACTGTCAGCTCGTCTCGTGTATATCCAGGTATATCCTCAGCAACGGTGAATGAAATGCAAGCTTTGGAGACAGTGGTGGATCTTAGGAAGACTGAAATACAATATCCCGGAGTACACGGCCTGCCCAGAATCTGGTGAAAAAATCCAAGGGGCATTCGTGCAAATGTCGGTAGTATAGATATCAGTACTTTTGCGTAACAGTTGCACTCATTTTGCGCGTGTGCCATTTGTGCAACGGTTGCAATACAGGTTGCAAAGGATTTGCGTCGTGGATTCCTTTGCGCAATATTCTGACTTAGACTTATCGGCACGGGGGCGTGCCGATGGTCTCGTGACACGTCGCGTCGCTGCTTCATCATGCCGATGTGCCGGAGTTCAATCTCCGCTCGTAGCGGTTGGAGTTGGACTTCAACAAATTTCTCTCTCATCATCTCTTGCCCTTCAACCACCACCATCTCTCGTCCGTGCCCGTGCTCCCCTCAGTTCCGCGCAGCATCTTGCAGCTGTTGTCTCTACTTGACATGGTACGTGTACCATATTTATAGCTATGTTTCGCTGCACGGTAGCTTGACTGCACTCAAGGGCCGAGTCTAGAGTCCCATATCTTCTTCAATCCTGATGCTCAATTAGCACGAGGTAAGTGAATACTCTTCCAGTCGCTCTGAACATACTGATGATGCAGAAGTTGTACAGGCCGACAAGTGTGCGGCATATCGCCTTATGTTCGCACTCGCACTTTCGTGTTCCTGTAACAGCAGATGCACCACAGGCAGTGCATATATTGGGTCTTGTGATGTACAAGACATCATTAGATGCTCAGACATGTATGTAGTAGATATGTATAATGATTATATTGTTTTCCATGCATCCATACAAGCTGCGCCGTCGAGCAACGGGGTGGGAAAGGGGATCAATCCAGGCATATGGTATGGGATGGCGTGATTGATGTTATCAGTCCCGTGCAGGTCATGTGACTTTATTTGTGCAACATTTGCGCTATCCCGCGGCAAGAAACTCATGCAAATATTCGGTCTGATTCATTCGCGAGGGCGATTTTCTTGCTCCTGTTTGGCAATCTCAGCGCAAACGTTTGATTCCGGATTTTGACGCAACATTTGTACAAATACTGCCGGGCTGTGTAATCATGTCACGATCTACTCGTTGCAGCGTTGGGCGTGTGCCGGTTTCGAGGTTGGATCCGTTTGGCGGACACACGGGGGGGCGCCCGAGCATAGGTCACTTATGCGGACATAAGCAGCCCAATTTGGGCTGACCGGATCCTAGAGGCGGACATATCCGGTCCAAATGTGTGAGGCCATAAGGGCCGAAAATCGGGCACTTAGGATCAAACATCAGTACCCATATGCCGGGGTCCTATAGCATCCCGCCTGAAAACAAAGCTGTGAGCAGGGAGTTTGCCTGCTCGGCCACACCCAGGGTCATTCACCATGTTTGCATGTTGGGAACATGGCATCTCGCGGGGACCATAACTCATTGTCTCCTCGAGTTTTCCACGTTCTGACGCTTCCGACCGAGGACAATGCGATCACGTCCTACCGAACCCCAATACTAACGCGCACACAACAGCTTGCGGTCGTGCAGACAACGCGCGAGGTAGCCAGGCTGTCTCGACAACCAGCCAGATGGTATGACGTCCCCCGGCTGTACACCCAGACAAAGATCGGCTGGCGATCAAGGTCGGCTGGCGACGGTGGATGAAGCCTTTGGAGGATGTCATCCGAATCCGAAGATGCCTCACGGATATTGGCCCTAGGCCAGTGAGTGGCACATCAGCTGCACCTCCTGCGAGGCTGGCCCGTCCCCTCTCTGCAGAGGTCTACAATGCGACCATCCGCTGGTAATTGCGCACCGTGGCCATCGCAAGGTCTTGGCAAGTTGCAGTCTAAACACTCGTTTGATTCAGTACTCATGATGTATGCATTTAGTCCCTGGTCCAAGCCATTACTTCCCGGTCTCTTCTAAGCCTCCTTCACTGGATGGTATGGACGTAATACGCGTTATGAAAGCTCCCACCCCGAGACAAAGTAGGCCCTGTAGATTCTGGATGGCTGGCTTCTGCGCGCACGGCAACACGTGCCGTTTTGCGCACCCCAGTACCTCTAGCGCGCTGTCTGCGGGCCCCTCACGTCCTCCGGCTCGTGCCACCCTATCAAGTCTATCAAATAGCAGACCCTCGATCCCGCCTCGTACGGGTTCCTCCGCATCCGCAACCACCGCTGAGGGGGCCCACCTGGATTCAGCGGGATACAACAAAGAAGGTAAACAACATCGATCTCATTTGCAGCCGCCTACTGAGGCGATACCTCCCCGTAGATCATCCATGCTTTAATTTTCTAGGCGGCTATTGTCCGTACGGTCTGTCGTGTAAATACTATCATCCCCCACCCCCGCCTCCAACGTCGACGCCGAAGACGCCACTAAAGGACGTACCCTCCACTCCTATTCATTCGATCTCTAGTACACATTCTTCCCCCTTAGTATGGCCACCCCCTACCTACAAGCTCCTCGGCCAACCTCGCCCTGCCGTCCGTCCCAGTCCCCATACTCCAGAAAGTCCTTCGACAAGGAGGAAGAATGCAAGAGCATATCTGAGGGAATTCCCGGCACGCAGGCTTACCTTCGACTCCCCCTCGTTAGACGCGTCTGTGACAAACATCATGACGTCTTCCTCTGTGTCGCTGGATCACAGTAGGAATTCGAGTTTGGAGGTTAACGTGTCTTCCGAGGCGGTCACGTCTCCGCCGCGGGACATACGCCGCGTAGTTGGAAGTGGCAGACCGATTTTTGCCGACTTCGCTCCTCAAGACACATCATCTCCGCCTCCAAGAAATGTTGCTGCTCTTCGGATTTTGCCGTCTAGACCGGGATCTCCTCACGACACTCCGGAGAGAGACTCGTTCTCACTCTCGGACCTCAGTATAGCGGTCGAAGGCCTGCCAACATCCGTGGAGGCATTGGGCGATCCAATTTGTGAATCGATAGGGGATCCCTCCTTCGAAGAAGACGATATCTTCGTAGTATCTCCCTCCCGCGGTCCTAGCCTGCGTCCCATACGCAGTACAACTCCGCAGCCGTCAAGCCCCGATTCCAAGTCGGACGATTTGCCACCATTTGTCGGTGCCACACTTCCCGACTTTCAACGGGCAGTATCTCCCAATCCCTGCGATCGTGACCCCTCACCAGTTGTCCGTGGTTCCCTGTTGCCCTCCTTCCCTATCACTTCTCCTGGACGTCCTCCTTTCCCTGACCCTGTGTACCACCTCGATCCTGCGCCTAGCTTGGCTTCTAGGAGGGGTTCAACGGGTACAGCTCCTCAGGCGGCTGAACATCGTCCTACCCTGCTGATTCGTGCACCGTTAACGCATGGGGATCCCAATCCACCTTGCTCCATAAACCAGGTTAACAGTGAGGCATACGACGTTTCTGAGCCCGGCGAGCCAAAGCGTGTACTCGCTCTTCCCGAGAGACCACAGTACGTACATGCGTCCGGATACGTACCCCGCACCTCAGTACAGATACATGCCGAACCCATGCGACGAGGGAATAACGCCGCGCCGACTAATAAGCGAGAAAACCCGCCCCTCTTCCTGGGTCAGGGGAGTGTGCCTCCGGTCTTCTCCTCTCAACCAGTGTGTGGAGGTCCTCAAACCGTGCGTTCGAATGTCAAGGTGAAATCAGGCAGACCTAAGCGAGACTCGGCTGTCCCGCCAGGAGGGCTAGGTCCTGGTGGCATATCCTCCACGCGAGCCTACGAGAAACCCCTTGCTCTGCCACCATATACGCAGGGTGTCGTACAGCGAGCAGAGGTATCTCGCCGCTTGTCTTCCTTGGGTGCGAGGGGACTTATTGAGGGGAGTGCGCCTGAAGTTCCTTCTAACGCAACCAGTGGGCTTCGACCTAACTGGGCCGTGCAAGGTCTTGGAGACACCCGCGGTGACGTGTTTTCTTCTCTGGAGAACGGCAGCGTGCAGGGTCCTCGCGGTGTGCCACCGACTGTGGTCCAGAGCGTCCCGCCGACGCACGGCACGCGAGAGTCTGACCGCCCGTCTACGGTACCGGTTGATCTTGACGCGGAAATTACACGAAAGATCCGTTCCATAGAACGATTAGGCTCTTCAATAGACCCACCTCCACCACAGAGGTGCTCGTCACATCCTGCGCAACGCAATGCTCTTAATGTCCATATTGCGCAGGCAAGGGAGTCACGGAAGGTACCAGCCCTGCCAGTGCAGGTAGCAAATCCTGTGCCTTCCCAGCCGTTGTCCCCTGTCCCCCTCCGTTGGTATCAGCGGTCTACGACACATTTCCGCTCTGCGACTGTCCCGAATAACGCACTCGGCCCTATACCGGAGTCGCGCCCAGTCACGCCGGAGTGGAGCTATGCGAGATTACCTAGAGATCAATATGGTACCAGACAAAGGCATGGTAGCAGTGAAGACGGGCGAGGCCACCGCCAGCCCATGTCCCACGAAAATCCTAGGATTGGATATGGACACAAGAAAAGAAAAAAGAACCGCAAACGCAGGCCGGCCGGTGTGCGTCCACAGACGCCTCCTCCGCCTAGGATAGGGCCTAAACCCGGGAGGCGGGAGCGAGCACAGCGGCAGCGGTTTCAGCACGAGATGGAAGAGCTGGACTTGATTATGCGTCCGCACAGTCGAACGCCGCCGCCTACGCAGCCTAGAGCGCAGACGAGTCCGCCGAAACCGCGACATGTTGCCGCGGTTGAGGAGGAGGAGGAGGAGGAGGAGTTGCTTTCGGTGAGTCCTCCGCGCTTCATCCGTGAATGTGTCCGGAGATCTGATTCTCGGGCAGCTTGTGGCAGAGTCCCCTTGATGACTGACACGCCAGATTTCTTAGGAACAAACTGTATTGCTACTTTGTATGCACATGATCACTATGCTAATACATTTCTTATGGTATGTCTCCTGTTTATTTTGGTGTGATGCAGATGGATCTATCAGGTTTCGCCGCCAATGTTGGAGCCTCCTTTGCCAATACCGCTGTAGTGCTTACAGCACCCGTCCGGCTTGGCGAAACTCGGAGAGGGCGGTACGAGGATACCTCGCTGGTGTATATGGACTCATCCGAGGTGCCGGCTTCTTATTAGGAGTCAGCTGTATCAGCGGCGCCACAACGAGATGCGGGCTTGACCCGGTGTTTGGATGGATGTCAAGCCAAGATACTCACACACGTTATTACCATCCCTGCACTACGGACCATGTTAACAAGTGGCACCTACAGGCCTTGACTTTGAAGTGCACAAGACTCAGACGCGAGACGAGGTCAGCACATATGGCAACAGAGAGCGTTCAGCTCGATTTTTGCCGCAGGATGGACCTGTTGCCGACGGCACCGCTGTCAAGAACCGCCTGTAGAGTAATGTCACACAGTGCGACTATGTCACAGGTTGACTTGTGTTGTCTATAACTTCTTTCGGATGGGAACCTAAGGTCCAAAACTTATACAGATGTGTTCTTGTATTGTATATGAACTATAATCGATACTAATATTGAGCGCCGAAGGGTTATGTGGTATGCAGCCGAAGGGTTATGTGGTATGCAACATCGAGAAGATAATATCATGAGCCATCATAACATTCGGAGACGTCCGATGCTATATCTCACGCTACTTCACGCTCAATTCAGACTCAGCGAGCTCGAATGCACGTCCTCGCAGAGGTTACTGCTTATGCGGTAGTCCCTTTATACGAGTATAATCGCCGATAACGCTTAGTTTACAAGTGTCCCGTTCAGAAAAAAGAAGCCAATCCAGAAAGAGTATGCAGGAAACAGAGTCATACCCTCCAGAGATCGGCGAATGCCCTTCACGTCGGGTCCGTCTACTAATACATCCTGTAACTGAGCGTCTCTTAGTTAAGACTCTGTTCAACCATTAGGGAGTCCCAGTACTTTGATATTCATACAATGTCTAGCTATCAGCCTGCAGGCGTTGGACTGACTTTTGGAGTTACTCAGTGCGTGATCCTGAGTGAAGCCTCAGGCTCGGAGCACATAGATGATAAAGTACTTTTATCCCCGGG